AAAAAAAAAAAAAAAAAAAAAAAGAAGGCAGGCTGAGCAGACCAGTACAGTACTCCCCAATGGCCTCTGCATCAGTTCCTGCCCTTGATTTCCCCAGATGAAGGGCTGTAAGCTGTGAGATGAAATAAACTCTTTCTTCCCCAGATTGCTTTTCGTCATGGTGTTTACAACAGTCATAGAAACCCTAAGACACAGATAGGTCTTGTGGTTTTTTTTCCTGGAACTTCCTACAGCACGTGCTCCAATCAAATGAGCTGGATGGGCCAATAAGCGAACTCTGAGAGCCCAGGGACTATTGATAGGGCACAGGAGAGGCTCAGACTCACAGCTGTGTAACTACCAGTTCACTCAGGGAACGGAGGCAGGCGCCCAGGAAAAAGCTCTCCAAGAGGAAGGCGGGACCAGTAAGACAACAGCTAGGAGCATTAGGAAAAAAAAAATTCCTCCCAGTTTTATATGGTGGTTCTTAGGGAGCAATCTGTAAAATTTTAAGAATAACTTCATCTAAAAATATCCAATTTACATGTACAAATCCATTTACATATAGGAAAAAGAAAAGGTACGCAATAAAGGAAATGTAGTCATATTATAGTCTCCAGCTCTTTGGGGACCAATCTACACGGTCAGACAAAATACAACCACTGCCTGGCTTTTGGTAAAGCGTTTATGACTCATTCCATGTGAGTGGACTGAGGGGTGATGGGAAAGCGACGTAACGCGGCTGATTTTTCTTCTATAATACCTTAGTCATGACATCAAGATACAGCAACCTAAATATTTACTAACACAGGATATAAAGAAGCTTGTGGGCTGGAAAGATGACCCAGCAGTTAAGAGCACTGCTGTTCTTCCAGAGGTCCTGAGTTCAATTCCCCACAACCACATGGTCACAACCATCTATAATGGGATCCAATGCCCTCTTCTGGCGTGCAGGTGTTTATGCAGATAGAGCACTCATATACACAAAATATATGAATAAACATATAAATAATCTTTAAAAAAAATAAAGAAAAGAAAATTATAATTTACCACTCTGGGACTTAGGAAGGCATTAACAGAAGAATCCGATGTTTTTCATTACTAAAGCCTCTTGGGTGCTGGAGAGATGGCTCAGAGTTTAAGAACACTGGCTGCTCTCTCCAGAGGATCCTGCTTCAGTTCCCTGCACTCACATCGCAGCTCACAACTCTCTGTAACTCCACTTCCAGGGGATCCAACACTCGCACACAGACACACATGCAGGCAAAACACCAATGCTCATAAAAAAAATAAATAAATAAATAAAAAGGAATCATTAAAAATTTTTTAAAAGACTCTTGGAATTAATTAACAACTGTGACCACACTTATTTAAGATCAACGGAATGATACGTAGCACAATAGCAGAGCATGTGCTTACAGGGCCCTGTGATGATCCCCACCACCCCTCCCCCAAAAGACAGTCCCTGCTTTCCATCCCATACTAATTAAGTCCTAGAATTTAATTTAACGATCTAGCATCCAACTTATCTTAATTTAACTGCTATGCTTGCTTGCTTTCCTTTTTCTTCTTCTTCTTCTTCTTCTTTTTTTTTTTTGTTTGTTTGTTTTTTTGGTTTTTCGATGCAGGGTTTCTCTGCGTAACAGCCCTAGCTAGCCTAGAACCCAATTTGTAGATCAGGCTGGCCTCGAACTCACAGAGATCTATTCAATCTCACATACCTTTCTCCAAAGGTCCCTGCTCCCTCCTGCCTTTTCTGCTCATACATTGCCTGAGAAGAAATGGCCTTTCTCCTCTCTGCCTAGCAGATCCTGCCTACCCCGAATCCAGGTCCAGGCGCCATCCTGTTTGGAGAAGAGCTAGCTATGAATCATAGAAGAAAATGTACACATTGTAAGGCCCAGGGCCCCTAAAGGCAGCACTTGGAGTCTGCAGAGAGCCAGGAGCTGCCTTAGCTGTAGGCAGAGCTGGGCTGGGCTGGGCATTCCTAGGCAGGGCCCGACAGCCAGCTGGGATACTGTATACACGGTTACTGTCAACAGGTTCCTTCCAGAACAAGAAGCTTCCAGATCACCAAGAGTCTTGGGAGCACATTAGGCTGAGACAATCTGAGGCGGAGGTGGAAAGAGGGGCCCTGTAGGGCTGGGGTGCAGCTCGATGGTAGAATGTTTGTCAACCAAGGCTAAGGTCCACGGCTCCAACCCCAGTGCTACAAAATTAAAAAACAAGCAGCTAAACAGCCGGCATGCCAACACTGCAAGCTAAATACGTGAAAGAAAAGCACCTGGGTGGTCCTCTGGGGTGAGCAGCAGCCAGGGGAAGCGGGAAGTCAGCACTGGCCTCCCAGGCCTGGAAGCAGAGATGGAAAAACTTCCATGTCTGAAGCTCAGTCAGGGGCCTGAAGGACTTCCCGCCCTTACTGGCCATTGGCCTGGTCTCCCCTACGTCCCTTCTGAGTGTTCTAGGAAGAAAGCAGTGAGGGCAGTTCTGTGTCTCCTCGCCTCGGAGGAGAGCGCCTTATTCACTAGGCACCCAACATTCGCTGAGGACAGCGGCAGAAGGCAAGTCTGTGGACAGGACTGTTGGAGACAGACATGGGTATTTCCTTTGGGGCAGCCTGGGCTACAGCAGGTGACATCCTTAGCCACACTCCTCTTTTCATAGCTCTGTACAGCCCAATAAAATTCACAGTTGGAGAACCAGGCTCAGAACCAACTGTTCCATGTAGACTTTCATTCCTCAGTTTCCCCCCAACACTACCACCTCCTTAAGGCCCCGACCCTGACCAGAACCCTGCCACAGCCACCATCAGAAAAAAAAAAAAAAAGCCTCTTGAGCTAGGATGGGATCCAGGAAGGTCCCACCTTAGTAAGTTGGAGGCAATGTTGTCTATCTCCAGCACAGTAAGAAATGGAGAGAAGAACGGAGATCAGGAGGAGGGAGGAAGAAATGAAACAAAGACCTTCCGTCACCTGCCGCAGCTCTACGATCTCACCGCCACATTCTGGCTCTCCCAGCAGCAGTGGCCGCTGGCATGCACCCCTCGCCTCCCTGCATCCTCGCCTCCGCCTTTCCAGCTCTTCTTCCTCACCCTCTCAGTGCACAGAGTGAAGGAAGGAGAGGCCCGGAGCTTACCCAGAACTTCACAAGGAAGAAGGCGTTAGAGGGCCCCCGATCAAACAGCTCCTTGAGGCCACCCTTCTTCTCCGGGAATTTGTCATAGATCTGGCGGATGTCCACGGCTTCGAGGTAGGGGTCACTGTAGCTTGGGCTCGGCTGGCCGATGTGCACAAACAGGTGCTTGTTGTACTGTGGACGGAAGAACAACTGATCTGCGGGGGATGCCAAAGGGCGGGGTAGAGAGACAGCTCCACTGCGAGCCTCACTTACGACCTGGAGCAAATCGTGTTACCTCTCTGGGCCTCAGTTTCCTCACTGGGAGAAGGGAGACAAGATGGGGCAGGGGCAACTTGCTATATACCGGGCTAGTTTCCCAGAGGATGTGGAGCACACACCAGAGACTCCTCTGCTTCCTGAGTACCCCTCACAGCCAAGGAGTGGAGGATGGGGGTGGGGATGGGGAGGAAAGGACACTGGAATAAGAGGAGACATAGGAGACAGAAGAGAAACCTGAGAGCTGAGAGGGAGAAAGAGACCCAGAAGGCTTGAGGTGAGAGACCTGCAGAGAGCAGGAGAAGAAGAGAGCAAAGGAGGAGGGGGCGGGCAGGCAAGGGGAGAAGAACAAGGAATCTATTAAGCTCTGAGGGGAGAGGGGGAAGAAAGGTAAGAAAGCCAGAGGAGGTGGGGGGATGGAAGGTGAGATCTCTGGGCCTGCTGGGTCTCCTATGGAGGCAGGACTTCCAGGGGCAGGAACCCACTTATTAGGGTGGGGCCTGGGGAACCTACTATGGGGACAGGGCCTCCAGTGGCAGGGACGTGAATAGCATGGGGACAGAAACTTCAGGACTTGAGGCCTACTTTGAGGACAGGGCCTGTGGGACTGGAGTCCCACAGCAGTGGCAGAGCCTCTGAAATTAAAATGGCCTCTCTTGGGGTAAGACAGTCGCTCATGGGAGACCTACCGTGTCAGGATCTTGCTGGCGCTCCAGGAAAGCTGAGAACTCCAACATCCAGAGCTTGGAGCTGGCCACACTGCGGCCTTGCCACGGGGAAACTGGCGGTGCAGAGGGCGACGGGGTAGGTCCTGCAGGAGACTCAAAGCCTATGTGAAGGGAGAGAGACACATGGAACCTGCCCCTGCTTGCCCCCCGCGTCGATATCCTCAGTGGGGACCGGATAACACCAGTGAAAAGTGTGCCCAGTGGCAGGACAGAGCCTGTACGTGATCAGCTCAGTGGGCCCAGGCTTCTGCACGGGCCTGCGCTCAAGGCAGATGCATGCGGAACAGTCCAGGAGGTTGCCTGGAAAGCTGCCAGGGCAGGCACTGCAGGAGTCTTGCCCTAGGGCGATTGCTAGTCGAGGCAGGAAGACAGCCAGCTGAATCAACCAGCACAGTGATTCTGAGGCCCCGGGAGCAGGAAGCTTCCTGGAGGCTCCGAGTTGACCCATAGAACACTACCTACAACATAGGGTTTCAATGAATGCAGGCCTAGGTCCGCACTGGTAAAGTGTGCCCTCAGCACCACAGACTTCTTGGTGCCCCTGAGGCTAATTGAAGTGAGGCTTAAGGAAGTCTTGAAGTTCAAGCGGGGAGTCCTGAGTGAAGATGGGGAAACGGTACCCCAAGCTGGGAAGCAACAAAGACAAGTTGTGTGTGTGTGTGTGTGTGTGTGTGTGTGTGTGTGTGTGTGTGTGTGTGTGTTGAGGGTGGGGGTGGCTGGGAACCAGCTGAGGGAATCTGGAAAGCCACGACTTCAGGGAAGAGCAGGCCTGAACTGGTGGCAGGAAACAGGCCCCGTGGTCAGCCAGGGGGGCTGGCAAACAGGATGGATTCTACTCCTAAGTCAAGGAAAGCCAGTGGTTGAATTAAGTGGGGCTGGGAAACTGTCAGCTTTACAATTTTTTTTCCTTTCCTAGTAATACTGGGGATGGAATCCTGCCTGGAGCAAGGAATGTGAACAAAAATTCCTGAAAAGAAGCTGTGTCTGGCTGGCTGTGAACAAAAAACTCCTGGAAGGAGTTTCTGGGTCTGCAGAGACTCATGGACCGATTGGAATTCAGTACTGTGGAGAGATCGGAAATGTATAGGTTCAGAGGCTAATTACTCTATCTTGGGCTAGTGTTTGCCTTCTGGCACAGCCATTTCTTGACTCACTCTGTGTCTGAACTAACACCCCGTGATAATAAATAGAATCCTCCTAGAAGCCATTCACTCAGCCGAACATTAACATCTGCCAATCCAAGAGCTAAGAGTGACATCAGACAGCATCTTGGACCTATAGAGCGGCTCCCCCATCTCGCTGTACCCGCCTCTCTGGTGTACCCATCAATTTTAAAATTGCCTGGATATATGACTTTCTTTGTTCAGTAAAACTATGAAAACCCTGTGAAACTGTTTCCACAGTGGAACATGGAATTTGGGGTAACCTAAATTTGTGTTCCTGGGCCAAGGTCACACTCATAATGGCTCCAGAATAAACTCTTTCTTATTCCATTTAAGAGGAGAGCTGTGGTTTTCATGCTGACAGCACTCTAGGCAAGCTCTCTGCCACTGAGTTTGGCAGTTTTTCATTTCTTCTTCATTGTGGAAGAAGGGTGGGCCAGAGAGGGACACATTAGAGGCAAGGTCTTCATGAATCAAGTTCTCCTTCTGGAAGCCTGGTGGCCACTAGTATCCTGGGCAGAAGCAGTGAACTCAGGCACCGGGTAAAAAAACAAAACAAACAAACAAACAAACAAAAAGAGGATGCCAAGAAAGAACAGTCCAGAAGAGTGGCCAAGCATGCTGAACACTCCAGCCCATGCTTAGCGCATCTGCCCAGTCTTTCTTCCCTTCCTTCCTACAGCCCCAGTGCACCAGGAACTGCTGTGTACACAGCATAGGAAACTCCAAGGTGGAACCTAATAAACAGCAGGTACCTGACATGGTTGGGGCAGGTAGGAGGAACCACGGCCCTGGAGGAGCAATCTAGCCACAGCCCAGAGGCAGAGCAGGGAGTGGACAGGACCAGGGAACACAGTAACTGAGTCTCAGGAGTCCTGCAGATCTACTGCAGAGCTCAGATCTCATCGTGAAGGCACTACGGGTTCCAGGAAGCATGGTAAGCCTGGAAATAACATGGTGAGAGATGCTTTGAGAATCTCAGGGAGCCGGTTAAGAAGCCACTGCAGTGATCCAGGTGAGAACTAGGAGGATCTGAGTACAGACTGCATCAGCATGGACAGAGGGAAGAGAACAGAAAAGAGAACAGGACACGAGGACAGGCCCCAACTCTGTGATGCTCCCTGTGGGGGTGAAAGAAGCAGTGAGCAGACACCAGGTGTGGCAGGAAAGCCTGAGAGGCCAGAATGTCACAGCTGGTCACTCTCCAAGGAAGGTTGAAAGCCTGGCCTGAACTGCAGTGTGGAAGTGGCTGAGGAAGCCTCTCGAGAGATGATCAGAGCTGGTCCGCTGAGGCCTGAGGGAGGGCCCAAACCAGCACCTTCAAGCTGCTTCTGTCACATTGCCCAACAGCACTTTCCAGCCAGCAGGGTCTCCTGTGCTGGAGAGGGGTTAGACTTGCAAACCATTGTCCCTCAGCTCCCAACTGAGAGGCAGCAGGCAAAGAGGGAAGCCTGAAGAGCCAGCACATGTACCCTACGAGAGTGGCCTGGGGACATAGGCACTTCCTTCCAGTTTTGTGTCCCAGCCAGCCCTGAGCATAAGCGGCAAGAAGTTCAGCATGTGGTGTCAACCCAGAACGCCATGTCACCTGTGAGGCATGGCCGCAGCATGCTGACCGGAGGAAAGAAATGGGGTACAGCAAGAAAATTGGGATGTACAGTCTGGACACATGATGTCATGACACCTAACAACAGGATCCCAGGTGCTGTGAGCCTGGGACCAGAGGCAGGAGCCACAGGGTGTGACACGTAGGGAATCGTGCACCATCTACCTACCTGGCAGAGGCAGTGGAGGCTGAACAGTGTAGGCGTTTTGGGAGAAAGGTTTCACACTGTGGGAGAAATGAGAGAGGAGGCATCAGCCACAGGGAAGAGCTGCAGGGTGGCCCTGGTGGCTTGGCCATTGGTGGCCTTAGCTGACGTTGGTTTCTAGGACCCACCCCTGCCAGTTCCTTCAGGTTTTGTGTCTGAGTCATGGAAGCAATGCATGTTGGGACAATCCACCTCACACCCTCTCCCCGGGCAAGCAGATGTCTCTTTGGGTATCAAGCTTCAGAGCCTCTCTTATATCCTGTCCAGATGTGCACTTCAGTACATGGCACTCCGAGTGTGGACACTGCAGACTAAGTAGGTGACGTCTGTCTGGGAGTAAAGCCTTTTTCCCAAGGTCACGGCCATCCTGGAAAGGCCGGTCTCACACTGCAGCCCGTCTCCCCCAGCTCCACCTCCCGAAGCCAGGCTCCATTTCCTAAAAATTCTGGGTTCAAATCCAGTTCAGGGAGTGAGGGGTAGGAAATCAAACCATACTCACTCATGGGACGTTCCAGGTTGGCCTGGCAAAGCTCCTTGCCAAAACTGTGGAGGTAAAAGGTATAGACTCAGCTTGGCTGTGCTGTGCCTAGGGCCAGAGCCCACGGGGATTGTGGGAAGTCTGTAAGGGAGAGACCACGCAGGCCTCTGGGTGTAAAAGGAGAAAGAAAGGCCGCTCCAGCAGTGGGGGGAGGAGGAAAAGCCAATGCCTCTGTTTAACTGGCTGATGCTAACAGGCAGCAGCCACACCACGGAGTGTTTCCCTGTGCGCCACGGGGAGAGCCAGACTTGCTGACCCTGCACCTTTCTTCCTCCCATCGAGACGCACAGGGCTCTTCAGCATGTAAGGTTCTGAGGTCCTAAAGTCAAGAAATCTACCCAGGGGCTCAGTGGTAGAGCGTGTGCTTAGCTTGCATAAGGTACATGGTTCCTACCTCGAATACCAGAAATGATGTAATCCGAGTGTCTTCTACACAATCATTATATGTCCTATCTATTTACAACTAGTACCTTCTAAGACTCCCTATGAAATAGGATGGTGGAAAGGCCTGTGGAATTCAAGACATGTCCCTTCCCCACGTGTGAGGACAGACAGAGCAAGTGGGGCATCCCAAAGGCTGGGAAGGAGGACCGTTTCTGGAACATTCCAAAAGCATGGCAATGTGGACATGGCTACGAGACTGGTTGTCAGGCTGACAGAATCAAAATCTGAGCACAGGTTTGTCCCTCGACATCAGCTCTCCACACGGAAGGTGGGCTCTGCTGGGACGCTGAGCAGGAGTAGAGTTAAGGGTGAGTGGTGCTATGTGTGGACTCCACAACGCTATGTCAAAGCCTCAGGATGCATCCCCAGACCTCGGACTTCTGCCTCCTCATCTATACACCAAGTCAGTTTTCACCTGGCCAGCTAAGGGGAGCAGGCTCTTGCCCCTCTCGAAAGGCCTGCTGTGCTGTTGCTAAGGTCCTAAACAGTGGCTCCACCGCCAGCAGAGCCATGGTTTAGAACGGGCTCTGGGGAGAGCTCAGAGAGAGGGACTGAGACCGGCCACTGCGCCCAGCTCTGCAGAAGAGAAGGTATGAGGAAAGCTGCGTTGGCCTCTTGCTCGGGGCTGCCCCACTTACCCCTGAGATTGCTGGGTAGCCAGGGCCCCGGGCAAGAGCCATTTTACTGTGGAAGGCTGTGGCGGAGACGATCTGGGCGGACGACATGGCAGCCATGCTCTGCAGGGCCTTGTTCTTAGCTGCCTGGTCCTGGGGAGACATGGGAAGGGAGGGCCTTAGCAGGGCCGCCAGCCAGGCTCAGGGGAGGCATGATCTGGCCTCGGGGTCAGAAGAGCTGTCCAGTGCCAGTAGCCAGAGCTGGGGACCAGATTTAAGTTTGTGGCGTACTAACGTGCTGGTAACTGAGCAGGGGACTTGGCTTCTCTGGTCAGTTTCCTCATCTGTTGTGGAAGAATAAAACTGGCTAGGGACTATGTTAGACTGCCTGACTGCCCACTCTTCTTCCTTCCCTCCCTCCCTCCCGCTCGCCTCTCTCTCTTTCAAGTGTTGGGATGGAACCCAGCATACCAAGCATGTGCTCTACCGTTGAACCCAGAGCCCCGGCTACAATCTTTTTTTTTTTTTTTTTTGAGCTCAGGATTGAACCCAGGGCCTTGCACTTGCTAAGCTAAATCCCCAACCTTTTTTTTTTTTTTAAAGTTTTTTTGTTTTTTTTTTTTTTTTAAAGATTTATTTATTTATTATGTATACAGTGTTCTGCCTGCATGTCAGAAGGGGGAACTGTATCTCATTGTAGACCGTTATGAGCCACCATGTGGTTGCTGGGAATTGAACTCAGGACCTCTGGAGGAGTAGTCATCTCTCTAGCTTTTTTTTTTTTTAAGATTTATTTATTTATTATGTATACAGTGTTCTGTCTACACGTATCCCTACAGGCCAGAAGAGGGCACCAGATCTCATTACAGATGGTTGTGAGCCACCATGTGGTTGCTGGGAATTGAACTTGGGACCTTTGGAAGAGCAAGCAGTGCTCTTAACCTCTGAGCCATCTCTCCAGCCCCATCAATCTTTATAAAATGGAGAGCCTAGTGAATCAATATTTCACAGTGAATGAAAATTTGATAGAACTAAGAATGAAAATTTGATAGAACTAAGTCTGCCTTGAATAAGACAAGAGTTAAGGCTGGCAGATACCTCTGTAGCTTAACAGTCTGCAGGGCAATCTCCCTCAGTCCACACAGCGGCTCTGAGGCAGGATGAATACAGGGTAGTCCTGAGGCTCAAGAGGTGTCTACCCAGAAGGCACTCAGGAGAAGTCTAGAAATAGGTGTGGCCTGAGACAGCATACTGAGGATCCTGAGAAACGCTAATGCACTTTGACCCCTGGGAAAGTAGAGGATCAGCAGGATCCCTCTTAGAAGGTGAAGAACTGGGGCTCAGAAATTTAGCCTTAAGAGAGTGGTCTAAGCCAGGTGGTGGTGGCGCATGACTTTAATCCCAGCACTTGGGAGGCAGAGCCAGGCAGATCTCAGTGAGTTCCAGGTCAGCCTAGTCTACAGAGTTTTAGGGCAGGCTCCAAAGCTACCTGTCT